ATATAAAATACTGAACATACACATATTGAATCAATCTTGTATTCCAAGTGTCTTTTTGTGTGGTTTATCCACTAGAGCCTGGCTGAGTTATGTTGTTAGGCCCTTAAAGAAGACTGACTCTTCTCTCCTAGCATCTGTCAGTTCCCAATATTTTCTCAGAAGGGTTGAGGTTTCTCATCAACTTCTCCACTTCTAGGTTGATGTTTTTCTGACATGAGCTTATGTGGAATGCTGTTCTGTGAGTTCATAAGGATAACTAACAAGCAGCCTGGATAACTTTGTTTCTTGTGGTCATCCATCACTTATGGTTTGTAGAATATTTCTGTCCCCATTTCACAAATATCTCTGATCCCTGAGAGAATGACATTTGATATAGGAGTCTCTCAGGCATAAGCACAATGCAGGTTCTTATTCTCTGCACATTGGACAGTTGTGTCTCTCGGGTTAATCACCCTTTGATACATGAAGAAGCTTCTCTGGTAAGAGTGGAAAATGCATTAGTCTATTGGCATAGCAATAAGTTGTTAGGAGCTGGTTTAATACTATGTCCATGAAGCAAAATGCTAGTCACAGGTTCCTAGTTCTGATCACAGTATCAGATACGGACACCATCCTTTGAAGTGGATGGACCTCAAATCTGATCACAAAGCAGTTGGTCCCTCCCATAAAATATGTGAGACCATTGTACCTACGGACATATTTTGTTAGGAAAGTTCATTCTCTAGCTCACAAGATACTCATATGGGCAAAGTCAGTGATCACCCCAATTTTTTTGGTAGATGCGTAGCACCTGCCAGCACTATGAAGTGAGTTAGTAGAGATGGAAATTTAAAATCAATACTAGCTTGATTTCTCCTAGATTGTTCCACAATTCATATACGCAGTGTCTTCAGTGGGCATTTATTTCCATGAAGTTCTTGTGGTAATGAAGGGCAGGGGCAATATCCAGTGCTGTTTGAGGGGTCATAGAAATCTTGGTCAACATTTTCAAAAGGGTAATCGATTCCTGGCATTGAGCTTTTTCTTTGCATGCCTATGGTTTCTCGTAGGGGTGTGTCCATCTGTTATAGAGTAATTCATTTTTAATCTCTTTTATTATGTATTTGTACATATTTAAGGAGATTCTGTAGTGAATATTTTCATATGAATTGTTCCTGAAGGCTTTAATGTTAGTTATCCATGTCCGTACTCCCTCTTTGCTCTGCAATTCCTTCCCTAATTTAGCCCTCATACTTGCCTTCCCCCATATGTATCTTGAATACTATCTCCCTTCCCAGGAGGCCTCCCTAGACCTTGGCCATTTGGTGTTTTACTGAACTCTGTGGATTTTCTAATCCAAACACGCATATCCATTTACAATTTCACATGAAATGTGTTAAATATAATGCTCTCTGAGCCTATACATTGAGACTTGGTTTCAGAATATACATCATTAAAATGAGTAAAAAGCTCAAATCTTTGCTAAATATGTATCAAAATATGCATTGCAACCATAGACAATCCTTTAAATAATGTCTAAAGAATACCATTACTATATCAAACACTTCAAAAGATATCTCTCAGAAAATATTTTCTTACCAAGTTGTCTCTTCAGAGCTCCCTTAATCTCATTATTCTTCAGACTGTAGATGAGAGGGTTCAACATCGGGATCAAAACCATGTAGAACACAGACACCACCTTATTCTGGTCAGTGGAGTAACTGGACTTTGGCATCACATAAATGAATGTGGTAGTCCCATAGTACAAAGTGACTGCAGTGAGGTGGGAGGTGCAGGTGGAGAAGGCCTTCTGGCGACCCTCAGTGGAGGGCATCTTCAGGATGGTGATGAGGATGTAGGTATAGGAGGTGCCTATGACTGACAATGTGATCACAACTGTAGTCCCACAGTAAAATGTAATAATATCTATGGGGATCCTGACATCTGAACAGGAGAGTTCAACTAAAGGGGAAAAATCGCAGAAAAAATGGCTGATTCTATTTGGTCCACAGAAGTTAGAAGAAAAGAAGAAAAGGGTAGAGGAGGCTGCATTAAGAAAACCACATGTGTAAGATCCTATAAGCAGTTGAACACAGACTTGTGTGGACATTTTGGTTGAATAAAGCAGTGGGTTACAGATTGCCACAAAGCGATCATAAGCCATGACAGCCAGAATGTAGCACTCAAGTGTCCCAACGAAAGCAGCTGAGTCAAGCTGGATGATACACCCAAGGTAGGAGATGGTATTCTTCTCTACCAGGCTGAGGAGAGACTCTGATAAGCAGGATTGTGCTGAGGTTTCCAGACAGGGTCACCAGGTAAATGAACAGGATGATGATGAAGAGGATGACTCGAAGGACTGGGTCATTTGTTAAACCAAGTAAGATGAACTGTGTCACTGCTGTGTGGTTCCCATCCACAAGGAAATCCATGGGACAGTGTAGGCATTTCCTCAAAACAGCTGTGATGGACTTATGAAGGAATTTATAAATATGTAATTTTGTTTTCATCAAAATATATCTTAACAATAAAAAATGAAAGGAAAATATGAAGTAACAACTGAGATTTTCCTCCATACTATCATTTTTCATATATTGGTTTACAAGAAGCATGACTTAAAATTTCATAACAGGAATGTTAGAAATTAGCTACATATATGTATTCTTTACATTTATATGTTATATTATAAATATTACTTTCTTTAAACTATAAGTTTTAAAATATGAGACTCATGAAAGTAGCAAAGTACTTAAGAATTCAACAAAGTGTCAGAATTAATAAACATGGGGTTATGTAATGATGTAAACATTTGATAGCTGTCAAAAATGCTTACTAAATCCCTACCTGGAGATTCAAAATTTATGCAAAGTGTTATTGTCATTCCATAGAATACAGTTATTAGTTCCAATTTACACGTGAGAAAATTTAATTTGAAAATAATATGTAAATTAAGGCTACATAAAGTTGTTAGAACTAGACATGTGTACAGGCATGTTGACCAGAGTCTACTCTTAGTAAGTATACCATGCATGAAACATTACAGTGAAGATAAGATCTCACGGAAATTGAGCGAGACATTAGGGCAGGTTTTCAGCTTCCTAATTACTGATATATACAAGAATTTCTTGAGTAATGACATTGATTCTATAGTCTGTCAGGTATTTAAGTTCATGTCGGAATCAGATTATAAAGAAATAATTTTCTTGTTAGAAATGAGAAGAAACAGAAATAACCAAAAACAGCATCATAAGGTAATTACTACTATAAGTACATTAAATATATAAGTACTTCTAATTAAACCATTGCACTTTTAAATATCAAAATATTATCATATACATGTGGGTTATGTTCAGAACATTATTATAGTGTTTATTTATTTATAACAAATCCTTTCCTAACCTAAATGTATATTCTAACAGAAGCATGATGAAATGAAATAGTTTGATTTTCAACAAGAGTACACTATGATAAATATTCAGCAAAAAGTTTAAGATGTTTGCTGAAGTTTGTGAAGTTTTCCTGATAGATGGAGGATGGCCCCAACTGTTGAAATTTTGGCTGTATATCCTCATATCTTCCACAGTGTCTGAATGGCTGTGATGATCAAACCTTCTGTCAATGAACAAAACAGGACATTCCACAAGATATATTCTGACAAGAAGACATCACCTCACTTCAAGGTGGTGAATTTATTAGCATTTTCACCCTAGTGCTAAATTTATACACTTTGAAGACATTTTGAGATTTTGCCTTGTTTGTGGACTAATTAAAAAACATTATTTGAAAACTTAGTTTTATTCCTGATTATTCAGAAGAATTTAACTATGGGAACAGTTGATTGTACAAGAGTTCCTTTTTATCTCTTGCTGATTCCTACTGGCTTCCTTATCAATTATGGTTTATTCAAACAGATAAGTTTTTCAAAAAATATACAAATAAAATTTCAGTGAATAAAGTATTTTCTTTTACCACAGACCCCAAATCTTACCTCTTGAAATTATAATTCATTACAGAGTAACATAGTCAAAGTTGTTATAATTTTATACCTACTGAGCTTCTCCCATGTCACTGTTTTTCAGTGAGGATCAGTCTCTAAAGAGGCTTTGGATTCAAATGTGAAATTAAATCACCAGAGATGATTAACTCATTCTCAGGTGGTCACTGATCAGTTCTTTCCACACAATCACAACTGACTTTCAAAGTGGCTGCCAATCACATGGGAGATATTTTTCTTATTCTACATGTTCTGAATCATTTTCACTTACTTATTATGGGAGGTATATGTTAAAAAGTGTCACAGGTAACTAACTATTTGTTGCAAGTTTATCTGGTATTTGAAGTGAGAAGACACCAAATCAGGAATATAAAAAGAACTACTTCGGATTCTTCTTCTCAATGACCCTTTATTTTATGAGTATTATGTACCGATTGGTGTAAGACACACAGTTAAGTACACTAAACAGTTTGGGAGGGATGAGATGTAAAGTCGTTTTAAATAACAGTTATTTAAGCAACATATTTTATAGGCAAGGATGTAAATGAGGATATAACGTAGGATATGAATGCGGTTGAACATGGAGGCAGAGGCTGGAGAATTGCCCAAAGGTCACCTATTACCTCTCCTAGCTTATAGCCCAGGAAACAGAAAGAGAGATTCTGTCTCAAAGAAGGTAGCAGGTGAGGACTGACACCTTTGATTGTCCCTCTCAACAACACATGCATAGAGTAGCTCCTGTACAATTGTACTCACAAAGACGTGCACACATGTGTCACATAGATCCATACATATACAATATAAATAATAAATAAACGTTAGTAAATACATAGCTAAATGACTAATCAAAGAAATATCTTTTTGCAAAAGAAAGATTATTAAAGGTCCAGATACAGATCATAAGTGACCGAATTCCCCAGTGCTGCCTGACACATTTGCAATGCAACTATATCTCTGGGAAAACTGCAAAACCGGGAGAGAAAATATTTTAAGAGACTTAAAATAAAATGCCTTAGGAACAAAATGACTGCTCTAGATAATGCATTATAGATATGATAGGGATGAGGTTTCATTGAAATCACTACAGCATAGTACTCTAACAAGATCTGCATAATGACAAAGCAAGTTCACATGACAATGTGGATGGGGGAATTTTCACAGAGTCCCACATCTAGATGAAGACTTACAGTAAATTGATGCTGAGGGAGGGAGAGTCAGTATTCTACAGGAACAACTTTCCAATAAGTTGTACATTATACTATATAATATATAGAGAGAAATAAAATGTATGTATATAGAACAAGAATAATCAAAGAAGAAATGAAACTGAGTGTGAATGGGGGCAGTGGTTTAAGTTGTTGTGGGGAGTTGGAGGGGTAATAAGATGCAAATAACATCCTCATATACAAATTTTTCAAAAAAATAGAAATATATGTCGATAAATACTGATGAGTATATGCTTCTTTAGGTAAGCTGTACTTAACTCTGCACAAATTATTCCCTTTTTTGTTGAGATGGCTTCATGTAAGTCAGGATGACTTTATATTTGCTATATAGCCAAAGATAACCTTGAATTTCTCCTTGTTCTGCCTATAGCTCCTGATCCCGTGGATTTCTGTTATCCCACACCACACTTGGTTGAAGTGGGGCTGGGGACTGAACCCAGGACTTTACGCATGCCAGGAAAGTGCTCATCCCCAGACCTACCTTATATCCTTCCTATTCCATTACGTCCCTTTCCCATTTTATATCACTACATCCTATATACCTCATAATAACTCACCTTACCCCCTGATATGGCTGTTTACTAGTTTCCTGAACTCTAAGGATTCAAAACTAGCAATCCACTTATGACACAGAATATGCAATATTTGTCTTTCTGGGTCTGGGCTGCTTGACTCAGGATGACTATTTCCATTTCTATCCATTTACATACAAGTTTCATAATTTTAGTTGTCAACAGCTGAAGAACATTCCATTTTGTAAACATAGTGGGGTTAACTCCAGTTGCATGTATTATTCAATGTATCATAAACGATGTAACTAAAAAGATGCAGGGCTAAACAGACATGGATGGACTCAAAGGGAAAAATTCCTGGGACACAGGTGGTCCTGTGCCATTATGTAAACATAGTATATGTTCATTAGTCATTCATCAGTTCATCAGACATCAAGTTTGATTTCATTTTTTGGTTATTGTGAACAGAGAGACAGTAAACATGGATGAACAGGTATCTCTGTAGTCACAAGATATAGAAACTTTGGGGTAAATGCTCTAGAGAAGCATGGTTGCTAAAGCCCAAAGGCTCTTCCGAAAAGCTGGAATTGATCCGGGGTGAGTGTGGGCAACATGGAGCATGCTGGGAGAAAGGGGTGGGAAAACACCATATTGAGCATGGGTGAATGGCAAATGAGGAGAGAAGGAGGGCAGGAGATGAATGGCACATGCATTTCAAATATGGAAAAGGTAAAGCCTACACGAATCCATGTCTTTGTATGTCAGTCCCTCCCAAATGTCATATGAACCTGTGGGAAAATAGATCAGTGGCTTGAAAAATGGTGTCCACTGCTATGTGTTTCTGAAAACTCATTAAGGAATATAGAGAGCCTAGAGAAAAATAAAAACTACATATGAACTAGGAATAGAAGGTCATCCTTCTTTTTAGCGTTTTATCAAATTTTTGAGATTTCCAGACAATATAATTTGATGACATTTATATCCTCTCTTCCATTCACTCCTCCATACACCCCCGCCAATACACATAATTTTACAGTGTATTCTCACTGGGTAGTAAAGCTTATAGAGTCTAACTTGAATCCCCAAATGTTCTCCAGCATGGGCTCATCCACTCGAGCTTTCAACATTGTTGTGAGTTCATTAAGAGTTACTGGTCAGCTGTCTGGAGGTAACAGGACCCACCCAGGAGAAGCTGGCAGGAACCCAGGGGAAATGGTGGCCAAACCCCATATGCTTAGTGGGGTTAACTCCAGTCACATGCATTATTCAATGTATCATAAACTATG